ACAACAACATTGTATGCACTTCAAAAAAAAGTGGCACCTATCGTGGTTAATGAACGGGAAGAAGAAAAAAAAAAATCAAAAGGGTGATATTCAAGATCATATGGGTTGTATGGAGTTTCATATGCGTGGGCACTAAGATAAGCCAAGTATTCATGCAACAAATGGCAGAACGACCAAGGAAAATAATTGCTTACATTTAAAGAAAGCTGAGAAGGAACGAAAGGAATTATTCGATCAATGATCCAGAGTTAGTTACGTTATGAATGCACTCAAGATTTTAGAGTATTATCCATGCAACATATATTTTGGAAATCATATAGCCGTAGAAGATTCCGGTATAAGTTAAAAGAAAGAATTGAGCCCAGATCATAGACAAAGGATTGAATTATTAAAAGATTGTATCATGGATATTCCATAGAGCCCATGAGAGGCTAAAGTAATAACTAATACCAGGAGCCGCATATCAGAAGATAGCTTAAGCCTACATAAAGGCTGATAAGAAGGAAGAGGAAACTAAAGAGTTATATCAACCAAGTAAATTAGCAATCTGATTATTAGACCCAGAAAATTATAGACATCATGATTGAGAACCTTGCAGAATCACTCTTAATATAAGAGGTACATGAGAGATAGTACAGGAGCCATATTCTATAACGGCTCTACGATAAAGCCAGTTAGAAGAGTACCAATATAATAAGAAGTCAGTATGAAGCTTCCACTGGATTGTGTATACACCAGAGGTGCAAGTATTATAATAGAGTTTTAAGTATTTAGACAAGGTGGGTTGCTCTGATGGTAAGCACCCTCCACTTCCAACCAAGAGGTTGTGAGTTCGAGTCACCCCAAGAGCAAGGTGGGGAGGTCTTGGAGGGAAGGATGCCGAGGGTCTATTGGAAATAGCCTCTCTACCCCAGGGTAGGGGTAAGGTCTGCGTACACACTACCCTCCCCAGACCCCACTAGTGGGATTATACTGGGTTGTTGTTGTTGTTCTTGTTCAAGTTGTGGATGTGAATTGTACCTATGTGGAAGGGAGGTCATGAAAGAGATAGAAGATATGATGCGAGATTTTAAGGCAAAGGTAAACAACGTACGAGATACTCAAATGCAGAAGGTTGTAAAGAGTTCATACTTCGGATAAAAGGCTAGAAGCACGGGGATTCAATATCCAGGAATGATAGCAGCGTCGTCAATGGCATGTGTTCCAGCCTATGGTTTCTAGGTATCGAGAAGCCTAATTAAGAGAGCAAAGAAAATAGATATGTGTAAGTCGCAAGCTAAAGTATGGTAAAGCGACAAGGTTTTAGGAAGGCAGGGGTAAGAATAAGAAAGGGTGAGTGAGAAGGTGACGAGAATGGATAAGTCCTTGGGATTAAGCCCATGAAAACAAGAAGAGTTGATGGTTTCTCTAAGTTATACAAAGCTCAGTATAGCCTGAATGAACTCAAAGGAGTCTAAGACTAATGCATTTAGAAGAGATGGAATGATGTCCTGATAGTACAATGAGGGTGTAATTATGATAGATAAAGGATGACGATTGGGCCTTCGATTGAGTAATGATTTGAAGAGGATTTCATGAATTGTACGGGATTAAAATACCCACGTAAGTGAATCACATTGGGATGCTATAAAATACGGTTATTGAAGTACAACATCGCCGCTAAGTGGATCCAAAAAATCACTTCAAATACTCCTCGATGCAACGTAAGCCCTAGTGGCAAGGTATTACGTAAGAAATTTCAAGTTATCAGTGGTATATTGTAGATCAATATTGAGGTAAATCAACAATGGATGGACAAAAGTCACAAAGTATGCGATGAGATTAGGCCGTCATTCTTAAGATGAACAGTAATGAGGAAACATTAAAGGACTTAGATTTATACATATGGGATAAGCAACGAAAGTAACCTGAAGTTCGGTAGCAGAACTTAGTAACGATAAATTGAAGTAAGAGTTATGATATAGTATGACCTACCTAGATGCAGTAAAGTCATACGAATGGATAACCAGGTCAATAAAATAAGATATGGCAATATTCGTAAGTTCGACAAAGTACCGACCGAAGAACTTCAATACACCTATAGATGCTCAGAGGGACATCTTATCAAGTTCTGTATATGTTCCCAAAGTAAGGCCTAAAGATTGGCTAAAAGCTGAAGGGAAGAGTCGCATAGGAGCACATGCAAGGAAACAATCCTACAGGCTGCATAGCAGAAGGTAGCAAGAGTTACGAGATTGGAAGAATTCTGACCGTAGACCGTGGTGTGAGAAAGAGGCCAAAAGGAAGGAATGCCCTGGTTTTTAGATTTATTCAAAGAATAGTTGCCTAAATAGAAAGAAGAGTATTAAAGTATTCGCAAGAGCTATGGGTTATGAGAATGATAAGTGCATTAGTCAACATTCGAGGACGAATGTTCCAAAGGGGGGAATGATATTACACCCCATGTTTTCGTACGTTAAAGTTTCGTCGTAAGGTAATCGATGTAAGTTCGGGAATGAGATTATTTTGAGATTATAAGCATTATGCTATTTCAAACAAGTGACGAGTAAATTCGTGACAGTGAGAGGATAAGCGAATCGAAAAAAAATGAGTTTCGTCGAAATTTGACAATTTGGGATAAAATACGGTCCGAGCTATAATACCCGATATTTATGGACTAGTACCATACAAGGTACCACGTGGCCATGATAGTAAGATGTATAAAGTATATTAAAAAGGAGTAGTATTTTAAGTAATTTGAGATAATTCTTAATTATGTGAGTAATTGGTTGATTATTGGTTAATGGGGGGATTAATTAGTTAAATAAGATAATAGTAATTAATTAAGCCTCTAAGATAAGCAAAGAACGTGGAAGCCCGCCCCCCTCTTAAAACTTAAGATGACTCTTAAGTCATTAATATAGGTGGCAAGCTTAAGAGATATGGGCAAGTCTTGTAACATGAGTCACATTATTCATTTAAGGAAAGAGATCCCTTTTTTAAGTCTTAGGAAGATGAGTCATTAGTCATATATTCACCTAAGGAAAGAAAGCTTCAGTCAAGCACATAAGAACGTTCCAATTCCAATCACTTTCTCATTCAAGGAACATAAGCAACGTTAATTTACTTTCCAAAATAGCAACATTGTTGCTAAGTTCTTAAGAAAGGTTTCGGCCAAGATTTTCTTTGCATAGCAACGTGATTGCTTCGAGCTTTTCATATGACTTGTTCCGTATTTTGTCGCAATTAACGTGTGTTAGAGGATTGTTAAGAGAATCGACTGAGGTATGTTAAGGCTATCCTTTCTTTCTTTTTGGCATGCTCCAAATAATATAAATGAAACGAGCAAAATACGCAACTTTCATAAATGACTCTATTCATAGAGATACTAGGGGTGTCTATATTCTTGACTCCCCATGTGAATTATTATTATATCATATGTTTATGGGTCTCAGAAAAATACATATTTGATAAAGTTTATCCGAAAGGCATATTAATTTTATGACATTCCGAGAAATCTTATTAACGTATTTCATATGCATTTCATGCATTTATACATGCACATTGACCCATGACCATATGGCGTTATATACGCACCACCACCTAATCAGCTAGTATACGTTGATGATTTGCCCATAGTAGCCGAAATGATATGATGGGATGCCCTCAGAGGCTTGATGATGTTATGAACACATATACCTATGCATGGTATGCCATTTATACGCATATGCATGATGTTATAAAAATGAAATGATTCACAGAGCTATGCAGACGTACATGTCGAGTCTTTTACTCCATGTTTCTCTCATGTCTATTATTTACGTATTTTCATTCCTTACATACTCGGTACATTATTTGTACTGACATCCCTTTGGCCTGGGGACGCTGTGTTTCATGCCTGTAGGTCTCGATAGACAAGTCGTGAGTCCTCCAAATAGGCGATCAGCTCAGCGAAAGATGTTGGTGCACTCCATTTGCTTTGGAGTTACTTGTTTGGTCAGTATGATTTAGATGTATTTTGTTTGGTATGGCGGGGCTCTGTCCCGACCTTTATGACAATTATGTATTCATAGAGGCTTGTAGACAGATGTCATGTACATAAAAGATTATATGGCCTTGTCGGCCTATGTTCAGTGTACGAGTGATTATTTTGGTCTTAGAGGCCCATCTGTCTTATGTATAAGTTGGTATTACATGTTGTATTCTACCTATCTCACGACAGCCTCTCCGACTTAGTTATCTATGATCGTATGATACGAAAAGATACGTTATGTTGGTACTCAGTTGAGTAAGGTACCGGGTGCCCGTCACGACCCATCGGTTTGGGTCATGACATTAACTCACCACTTCAGCCGGTGGGTGGAATAGCCAAAGGAGTGCCAGTGAAGCTTGGCCCTTATGTAGGAAAAGTCAACTTGTGCATGGTGATCATAGATGACTTCGAGATGATAGTTGGGTTGGAATTCATGAGGCAAACCGACACCATTCCAGTACCTTATGCCGACATGCTACTGATGATGGGAGCAAACGGGGCCAAGCCCTGTATTATTCCATGCACAACCATAAAGATGGCCGCTGAGAACATCTCAGCCTTGCAGTTAAAGAAGAGAGTCAAAAGACATGAACACACGTTCCTGGATACCCTCTGTATTGAAGATATAGAGCACTCCTTAGGCCCTTTTCATGTACCCGTGAAGGAGTTGCTACTGGAGTTTGAAGACGTCATGCCACAGGATATGCCAAAGCGACTCCCGCCTAGGCGCACTGTGGACCATGAGATTGAGTTCGTGCCAGGTGCTAAGCCACCTGCCCGGGCGCCTTACAGAATGTCACAACTTGAGCTCACCGAGCTTCGGAGACAGTTGACAGAAATGCTAGACACGGGGATCATTGTGCCCTCCAAGTCTCCTTATGGGTCCCCTGTGCTATTCTAAAAGAAACATGATGGCATCCTACAACTCTGTGTGGATTATCGGGCCCTAAACAAAATCACCGTGAAGAACAAGTACCCTATCCCGTTCATGGCAGACTTGTTCGATAGGTTGGGTGGTGCCACTGTGTTCACCAAAATAGACCTGAAAACAGGTTATTGGCAAGTCCGATTTACTGAAGGAGATAAACACAAGACGACCTGTGTAACAAGATATGGGTCGTACGACTTCCTGGTCACTCCATTCGGCTTGACTAATGCTCTATCCACATTTTGCACATTGATGAACCAAGTCTTCCGAGAGTACATTGACGAGTTCGTAGTAGTCTACTTGGACGACATTGTGATATATAGAAAAACATTAGAGGAACACATGAAGCACCTACGGAAGGTCCTAGCCCGACTGCAGGAACACGAACTATATGCGAAGCTGTCCAAGTGCGCCTTCTCCCAAAAGAAGATTGACTTCCTCAGACATATCATCGAGGAAGGGCAGATAAAGATGGACCAAGAGAAGATTCAGGCTGTCATAGATTAGCTGCCGCCTAAGGATATCCACACCTTGAGGGCGTTCCTTGGCCTATGCAACGTTTATAGGCGATTTGTGAAGAATTACTCTCTCATTGCATTGCCGTTGGCATAACTCCTGAAGAAGGTCATACCTTGGGATTTGGGTCCCAAACGAGCGGAGGCCTTCAACGCATTAAAAATGGCTATGTATAGTAGCCTCGCCTTGGCCCTTCCTAATTTGGCCAAGCCATTCGAAGTACAGACGGATGCCTCTGACTATGATCTGGGCGGAGTCTTGCTACAAGAGGGGCATACAGTGGCGTACGAGAGCCGAAAGTTGAAGGATGCAGAACGACGCTATGCCGCCTACAAAAAAGAATTATTGGCTGGCGTCCATTGCTTACGCCATTGGAGGCACTATCTGCTAGGAACCCTATTCATAGTCAAGACAGACAACACAGTTGTTAGCCATTTCATGACCTAGCCAAAGCTGAATGGCCGATAGGAACTCCTAGCAGAATTTTACTTCAACCTCGAGTACCGAAGCGGGAAGACCAACCGAGTTGCTGATGCGCTTAGTCGAAGGGCTGACTTAGCATCGGTGTGCCTAATCGCCACCCTAAGGGGGAGCGAAATGGCCACCACTATAAGAGACCAGATACACGATCTACTCCCAAAGGATCTTGCTGCACAATATTTGGTCGATTTGGTAGGACAAGGCAAGACTCGCCAGTTCTACATGGAAGATGGGTTCTTAAAGGTGAAAGGGAACCGACTTTATGTTCCTAAAGGAGGAGATCTCCGAAGGACACTTCTGATGGAATGCCATGATACCTTGTGGGCCGGCCATTCAAGTGAATAGTGCACCATGGCGTTGTTGCGCTGTGCTTATTATTGGCCTCAAATGACTGATGATGTTGCTCAGTATATGAAGACTTGCTTAGTATGCCAGAAAGACAAGTCAGATCGCTTGACACAAGCGGGCCTTTTGGAGCCATTGCTTGTTCCAAAGAGATCTTGGGAAAGTGTTTCACTGGATTTCATCACCGGGTTGCCCAAGGTCGGAGATCTCACAAACATCTTAGTTGTAGTAGATCGGTTTTCCAAGTATGCTACATTTATAGCTGCCCAAAAATATATATCAGCAGAAGATACAGCTCAACTTTTCTCTCATGTTGTCAAATATTAGGGTCTGCCTAAAGACATCGTTAATGATCACGACTCTCGCTTCACCAGCAACTTTTGGACTCAGCTCTTTAAGTGCCTCGGGTCCAAATTGAGCCATAGTTCAAGTTTCCATTCATAATCTGATGGCCAGATGGAGCGGTTCAATGGCATGCTGGAGGAATATCTCTTCCATTTTATTACCGGATCGCAGAAAAATTGGGTGAAGCTTCTGGATGCTGCTCAACTGTGTTTCAATTCATAAAAGAGATCTAGTACAAATAAAAGCGCTTTTGAAATTGTTACCGGACAACAACCGCTACTTCCATATACTGTGAATGCCCCAAACATGTCGAAATCTCCTCGAGCTGCTAGCTTCTCGAAGGAATGGAAGCAAAATTTGGAGATAGTACGGAGCTATCTGGTCAAAGCCTAAAAGCGGATGAAGAAGCATACTGATCAAAACCGTCGCTTTGTTGAATACCAAGTAGGAGACAAAGTGATGGTGAAAGTTCCAAAGTGATACTTGTTTGCAGGGGTCCATGACCCTCGTCTATTGCAAAAATACATTGGAACTTTGTCCATTGAGAAGCGCATTGGGAATGTTGCATACCGAGTGGATACCCCATCCTGGTAGAAGATTTATCCAGTCTTCCATGTTAGTCTTCTGAAACCTTTTCGGGAAGACATGGAGGATCCTTCACGGAGCCAACTTACAATACCCAGTATTCGAGACCCTAATTCAACGGAAAAAAGGCGGGTATAAGCTATTCTCGATGATGGAGTGGTTCATGCTTCAAGGAAAGATCACCAAGAGTTCTTGGTAAAATGACATGGATGTGATGCAGAAGAGAATACTTGGGAAAGGGGAATGCACCTCAGAGCCTACAAGAGCCTGATCGATGATTATCTTGCAAGCAAGGCGCCGAGGACGTCGCTAACTCAGGTGGGGGAGAATGTCATGGGCGGGTTTCCAGCCATACCCCATGACCCCTTGGACGCGCCCCATGGCGTCCCGACAAGCCTCCCAACGCCTAGCGCCATGGTCGGCCCCCTGGTCTTGGTTGCGCCAAGTGACAATCACGCATGTGCATATGTCGAGTCATCGATAGCCCTTGCCAGCGCCCAGCCACAGGCATATGCCAATAGCTTCGCACGCGCATACCCTGATGCTAAAGACAAGGTTGCTGCTAACGGACTGGCTTCTACTTTGTAGGAATCTAAGTCCTTTTCATTGTAAATATATAGTAGTTTTATTTCATGTATTTCTATTATCTCTCTCTAGCTTAGTTAGGTCAAGTCCTGTAACTTTGGTTTTTTTTTTTTAAGCACTATTAGGAGGATCAAGCAATCAAACTTTCGAGCAAGCAAATAATTCTCTGTACTGGTGTCTCTCCCCTCGACACAGTGTTGCTTTTCTGTAATTGCTTTCATTAATGCAATCAAACTTTTTTTCATTCTCAATTCTCATTTTTTTTTCTCAATTGCTCTTGATATTGGTTTTCCCGTACATCACTGCCAATCTCGTCTAGCGTACGGAGGGCACCTCAGCTGGCGGATAATAACTGCACTGACATCGATTACTTAGCCTTAAATCTCAGAAAGACGCCGCGTAACATTTAGTACCATACAAGTTAAAACTAGTAGAGCGGTCGTATTTATGACCAGAACTTTAGATCTGTCCATACATGACCTTCCCAAAATTGGGAATATTCTGCTTCCATTCATTCGAATATAATTACTATGTATAGGTACGTATAAAACAAACAAACTTACCAATTTTCATAACAATGGGCATGCCAAAAATCAGAATAATTAAAAGCAAACTGCTGACTAGTTTACCATAAGATATAATGGTGTGTATACAGTATATTTGGTCGTGGTAGAGGAAACAATTTGAGAAGTCCTTTACGCAAAGTCATCACTCGTATTCATCTCAAATGCGACAATGGTATTTAAGTCAAAGTGTGACTAATTATAACGTTTGCAGTCATTGTTATTGACCCACTTTGAGAGCCATGAAAGTCACAGCTTTTATCATAAATTTGATAGCTTCACTTCTTTAGCACTGTCTACTGTTGGCCAAGGCAAACAGGTCCGACTTCAGCTGATCACATTGTGCTATGGGGTCACATAGTCTTGTATTTCCCAACATTTTATACGCGACACTTCGTGCACATTTTTAATACTAATATTTAAGTTATATACACGAAACAATTGGAAAAATATTCTAATAAGGGATTCAATATATATATATATATATATATATATATATATATATATATATATATATATATATATATGAATGAATGCAATACAGTCAGACCTCTTAGCATCCATATATAACAATCATTCATTATAAAAGTTAAATTTTTCTTGCAATCGATTTGTATGTTATGTTATAATATATATTTTCTATAATATCATTTCACTATAGTAGTCAAAAAATATCGGAACAAATAAGGTCGTTATAGAGAAGTTTAACTGTACCTCGGATTTCAACATGTAATCTTGATCAACATTTGAGCTATCTTTGTTGCTATACTAGAAATTTCTTTTGTGTCCAGGAGATCTTACAATTTACATGTACAAAAAAATTATTGTTTCTTATTTATACATTGTAATTTTGCAATAAAGGGGATTCAAGTGAGTTCTTTAGACATGCAGCTTCGCCCAGGAACGAATGTAGAGGTTTGATTACGGGTTCACATGATCCTAGTAGCTTTTGGCAATACCTTCTCTCTTTCGAAAATAACTTCTCTACCTTCATAAGACAGGGGTAAGGATTGCGTACATACTACCTTCCCCAGACCCACTTATACTGGGTGTGTTGTTGTTATATATAAATATATATATGCGTAACTGTGAATTCAGTTATTGTTGTAGTATTAACTGAGATCGATCGTTATAGAACTCATAAGCTTCAAATCCTGAATCCGCTTAATTCATCCATACATTAACTGTGATAAGTCTGTTTAACGTAAGGTTGTAGAGGTCAAACAACTCCTAGATTCTGAACATATATGTTTCCCTTGAACGTAAGAGTGCAAGGGCAGGGTTTACTCAATGGAAATTATCATGGTTAGTGAAGGCGACTTATCATACTGCACCCATTCTAATTTATATGGATTCCATTCGCGCAAATAAAAGAAATAAATAATCGATATAAATACATGTTGGGATGCGAATAGTCTCGTAGTGGTAGCTGAAAAGATATGGCTTTTTTCACTTTTAGTCAGTATCAGAAACTATATATATATATATATNTGGGAGTATACATATAAGGTGTAAGGATTTTTTAATGGTTAGAGGCCTTTTGGATAAATCGTACAGGCTTGGTCCAAAACGGACAATATAACACTATATTAAGAGAGTATCATTGGATCGTTTTAGCCCAACAATATATGTGTCATCTTTTATGACGGTTCAATATTGTATCCATTATTATAAAGAATTAGCACGTGGAGCGTGACACTTATTAACTTAAAATTCTGAATTCGTATATGTACATGTACATGTGCATCTTTGTGATGTTATTAAGTTTCAAACTATACTTTTAGTTGCTGGACGCAAGCAGACATGTAAATCTGTATGACTCAGATTATGTTTGGATTCTTTTTGGGCGTGAGTCATACACGGAAATCCTTTTTATGATTGGATAAATAGTTTTATTATCACTAAATTAAAGACTACATCGTCTTATATTATTCTACGAGGTAATTCACTTAAAGCTTAAAATTAACCTTGAAGAAATAAGGCTGTATTTATTTGTAATTTCCTTTTAGTCTTCAATCATATTGGAATAGAAGTTTCTTAGGAGTATTTTTTATTTTCAGATCTATGATTATTTATTATAGTAATAGC